CTCAAGAGAACCCGCTCGTATCGATGAAAGCCAAGTAAGCACAGCCGCTCAAGCAGTATCCACGCCAGCCAAGTGGTAAGCACACCCGCTAGAGCACTTTCCTGCACCCCCACGACGTAATGTCCAATGTGGATTAGTAAACGGGAGCCCCCCTCAACGATGAGGGCATGGGGAATAGTATCTTGAGGTGAGTTTCCATTAGATTTAGTATTGGTAGACTTGAGTTTCCATTTGGTTTAGTATTGCTGGAGCTTCCTTTTCAGATTTGGAACTGAGTTTGCGTTTGATTTAGTACTGCTGGAGCTTCCTTTTCAGATTTGGAACTGAGTTTGCATCTGATTTAGTATTGCTGGAGCTTCCTTCTCAGATTTGGAACTGGGTTTGCATTTGGCTTTATTGTAAGGGCCCCTGGAATAAAGTCTTGGGCTTAAAATTTGGGGGCTTGAAGTACTACCCCCTTTGTGGGTTTGATGGTGGGCAGTTTTCACACAAGAGACATGTAAGGAAACTTGAGTTTGGGCAAGGTCTGCAGTGTGGATTTTGGGGAGAAAGCAACAAGCTTCACCAGCATCAGCATCAGCATCAGCTGGGACTGTGTGTGAAGTTGGCCAGGTTGTTAGCCAAGAGGTAACTGCATTTAGGAAGTTGCATTTTTCAGGGGGGGACCACGCAGCAAGACTTTATTATAGGGGCCCCTGGAATAAAGTCTTGGGCTGAAACATTTTGGGGGCTTGAAGTACTACCCCCTTTGTGGGTTTGATAATAAACAGTTTTTAAGCAAGAGACATGTAAGAAAACTTGAGTTGGGCAAGGTCTGCAGTTTGGTTTTTTGGGAGAAAGCATGAAGCTTCACCAGCATCACCTGGGATTGAAGTTGGCTAGGTAGTTAGCCAAGAGGTAGCTGCATTTAGGAAGTTGCATTTTTCAGGGGGGGCCACGCATCAAGACTTTATTATAGGGGCCCCTGGAATAAAGTCTTGGGCTTAAAATTTGGGGGCTTGAAGTACACCCCCTTTGTGGGTTTGATGATGGGGAGGAAGCAACAAGCTTCACCAGCATCAGCATCAGCATCAGCTGGGATTGTGTGTGAAGTTGGCTAGGTTGTTAGCCAAGAGGTAACTGCATTTAGAAAGTTGCATTTTTCAGGGGGGCCATGCATCAAGACTTTATTATAGGGGCCCCTGGAATACAGTCTTGGGCTTAAAATTTGGGGGCTTGAAGTACTACCCCCTTTGGTGGTTGAGGAAAGAAGCAGGTGCCAAAAGCAAGGTGCCAAAGATCCAAGGACCAGGGGTGGCTATCTCTCCTCTCCTTCCTGTCCTTTCTCTCTTTCTCTCTTCTTTTTTGTGACTTTTTTGTGATGTTTTTTGGGACATGTTTTTTCATGGGCGGGGGGGGGGGGGGGCGGGGGGGCAGGGGCTTGTCTTTATTTCAGGTGCATTTATTTATTCTTTTGGGCCCCCCAGAAGTCTTTATAGCGCGGGCATTTTTTTAATCCCATTTGGACATTACACTTCCACACGGATTCCACCTTCGTTCTCCATGCTATCACCGACCTCGCCATTCCTTCAACACATCAACCTCTCTTTCATCTTACCCGTTCCCTTCTTCCCCAACTTTTCTCCACGCACCGACCCTCTTTCCACAAAATCAAAGGGCGCTCGTCACATTATGGCAATGTTAGAGCCGATACCAACGCAGCAAAGTGTCCTCACCCTCACGCCCCTCGGGCGCCATGCTCTCGCCCTCCCTGTTCTCCCTCCTACGGCTCCCAACCCTCTCTTGCAGAGCAATCCCAGTACCTGCAGGACACTGTACAAGCTGCAGCTACCCTCCTTGCCCAGGCCCCAGCTCATATCCGTAAACCATACCTCACTGATCCCTCTATTCGTATGATCCATAGCATCTCACCCAGATCAGCGTTACAAACTCCGAAGAGCCCTTAAGTGCCGTATTGCTAAAGATAAAAAACAGTGGATTTACTCACAGCTCCAAAAGAACACGTTCATTCTCCTCCCGCACAGCAATGGAAGACCCTAAAAATGCTTCGACGACAATACAGACATTCGATTAAAGCTGGCCGCAATACCGAGGGACAGATCACCACATCATTACAGAAAAGTGAGGTGCTTGCGAGCCACCTCTCCAATACAGTTTGGAAAACCAGTTTCCCGCTTCAATTACGGGCCCCCCTTTTTTGCCCCCCAGAAACGGAGGAGCCCCGGTCCGGACGGAATACCGTCCAAGTGGCATAAACACGCCCCCGCAATTTTTAAAACATTGCTCCTTTCTCATTTTACTCAAGCCTTCCTCCGCGCAGAATCCCCCGACTACTGTCCTCTCTTATCCGAATGGAGGTTCCTGAGCCCGGTCCGGCAAGGTTGCCCCCTCTCTCCATATCTTTCTATATTTTTCTCTCCGCTCTCATGAAAGACGTTTACACCCATTTTTTTGACACGGCATGACGCTCAACCCGGAAAATCTCAATTAGTCACCGTCAATTCCAACTAGCCGGAAAATTTCTCTTCCATTGTCATCCATACCACCGCCACTAGATACCTCAGGGCATGTCTCACGCCTGCTGGTTCCTCTCTTTCTGATGCCCGCTGGAGCCGCTAAGGCCCTATCCCCTTTCCTCCGCCACAAGCTTATTTCCACCAAAAAGAAGCTCCAGGTTTCACAGAATCGCAACTTAGGCAACATAATACACTCCATTTCCGCACACTTCGACAAATCCTCGGAACCAAGTCCTCATACTACCACCGAGTACTCTCTCCATCAGAGGAGCAATGCTCCATGAATTCCTTTCCTCCCAAGCACACACCCACCTTCCCTCACTGCTTAATCCGACCCAATCCATTTTGCGTTCCCGGATTCAATATCTAGGCCACATCCTTAGAGACCCCTCACTGCTTGAACACCAGGCAGGTTTCGGCCCAGCCCACACCTTTAAGAGGCTGAGCTCTCCTTTCCGCCAAGGAGTGTGGACAAGAGTTCAATTTTTGCAGCATTCGAGACCCACCCCTTTACACTAATTTGCTCACCCTTTTTTGGCAGCCCCATACAACACACTCCATACATCCTTTTCTCGGTACGGAATACTCCACTTTGGAGAACACTGCGCCCACTGTCTTTGGAAAGATCAAATTGGCAGTCACTAGTAAATGCTGGCATACCAAGAAACTGAACAATGCAATGTTGCGTGCTGCTGTCTTGTTGTTTTTTTCATTCGGTGGCTTTGCGCGTCGCAAAAAAATGGCAACTACCGAAATATCAGTAAACAAGGAAAGCCAGCTTGTAGGCTTCCATGTGTTTGACTGCAAAGCGCAGCCTTTTTTGTCACGCGAAAGGGGGGGCAGCGATCGCCATTGGCAAGGCACGGTGCGGAGCCTGTTCTTTTGGTACGCGCCCGACACTATGTTCATTGAGCTGCAGCTCTGGCAAGTGATGGACCCTCCCTGTGTCTAAATTGGGGAACGGTTGGGTTCCTTGCACTTGAAAACATCAATGAAGACAGTGACAGAAAAATCGGAGGCACGAACAAGACATGATGGACAGTTTGGTGTTGCGCAGGAATTTGGGTGATCAAAATGTCTTGGCAATGAAGGAAGACGACCTCCAGGTGTTTGGGGTCTCCCAACCCCAACCGGCGCTGAACCCATCTTCAACTAAACTCAAATCTGCAGACCCTGCACCCAGCTTCTACCTGAGCCATGATCCCAACTTGCACGAGGCAATCCAAAGCTCATGCCCTGGCCCAAATAGCAATCCCACCCAGAAGCAACTATAAATCCAGTCTTCAAACCCTAAACCAACCTGAAGCTCACCAGAATAAATCCGTAGCCCACACGAAACCCGCCACCAGCCCACTTAGAGCCACCATAGGCCTACCCAATATTTGACACCAACTGAAAAACTGTCCTAAGCTTACCCTGGAGTCCAAACCAATACGAAACCGGCCTATCCACCTTCAGTCGGAATCAACCAGCCTGCTGTAAACCCAGTTTTGAGGCATGCAGACAAGCATGTCAATGATGTTACACAAGAGGGCTAAGTCCTTGTGCAGAGTTCTTTTCTGAACATAAAGACTCAAGCCTTGGTCAATGCCATACCCCCCAAAGGGCTGGTAGATTCTGAACAACTGGGACTCGGGTGTTTTGGGCATAGCTAAGGCTGCCGTCACGGATTGTGTTCCCTCGGCACAGCCCGAGTGCCTGGGCACGCGGGGACCAGAGCACCGCGATGCCTGATATCTACATTGCCAAGATGGCGAGCAACAACCTGCAACCGGATCCAGTAGCAACCTTTGGTTTTTGGATTCCCCTTTTGCCCCAGCAGAAGCCTTTTGTTCTTGGGATTCACTCCGAAATCAAGCTGAAAAAGGAAAATGTGGCTGCAAGTTAGGCAACAGAAGGCGCCGAGAGTGCAGCAATTTGTGTCCCGGACGCAGTGGGCAACTGATTTATTGTTTGCTTCCTACAGCTTGAACAGGTTGGCAGCCTCCAAACATTTTGAATCCAGGACGCATCGGATACTTGGAAACGGCGAACTGGAATAATTTGAAATGAATGGTTGGAATCAACGGTGAGAACAGCAATCTAATCCATTCGGAGCTCAGGTGGCTAACATCAACTTTGAGCTGCCAGAAGTCCAGAATTTGATGTTGGAATTGAAGAGAGCAGGAGAAGGTTCAGCACGGAATGTGTCATGCCAGTGGATGATGCATGGCTAGACGTGGTTCAGGCTTTTGCCTTTTGCATTGGCTGATATTTGTCGCATCTGTTTTTTTGTTGTTTTTTTCCGCAAGTTTGGCCAAACCTTTTGAATTCCATTAATTTGTCCATCTACCCGTTGACCACCAAAAGCAATGTGTGTGTGTGTGTGTGTGTTTTTTTTGCAAGAGGGCATTTCGTCAAGGAAAGACAACAGAAACAAGTGGGAGAGCTGGGTGCCGATCGACACAGCCTGCCTTGAGGGCTTTGGCTTGATCGATGGACAAGGTGGGATTCTCACAAAGATGCCCAGGGCCGGGCATTCAGTTTTTACTTTCCCCGTTTAGTTGTAAGTGGAGTCCCCAAAGCAGGGGCTTAGGGTTGGGTGATTGGGCCAAGCCCTTGCAACATGAACTACAAAGGTTTCGACAACCGTTTTTGTATTCTTTTCAGAGGGCCTGTCGGGTCTGGTTGGGTAAATGGATGTTGCCAAGCCTTGCCTTCCACAGAGTTGTCAAACCCGTCTTCTCCAGCGTAGGGGAAGGCAAAGACTGAGCGTTGAGAAGTTGCTGCACTCATTTCCCAAAAGTTGCGAACATTAGCAGAGGCAATGCCGCAGGCAGACTTTTTGGGTGATTCCTTGTCCTTCAAGCCACAGCCCGAATCAGCGTGATTGTGAGCCATGCAAGCCAACCGGCCATTTTCGTTCAGAGGTTTTTAGGACTTGCGTGTTCGAACCTTCAGGCGCCTTCCTGGACAACCGCCCTGACGCCACAGGGTGCGGCTTGTGCCCTGCTGGGAGGGCCTCGGAGGAAGTGGTGGACGCAGATGGCAGGAGGGCGGTCGGCGTAAACAAGTGGTCACTTTGACCAAACAAGTTCAACCTGGATCTTCCAACGAGTTTTTTTTCTGCTCAAGCGGGTATTTGATACGCTTGTTGTGCTTGCGGACGTTTTTTGACAAACGAGCACTATTTAGTCTTCGAGCGTTATATCAGCCAACTGGAGGGCTGCTTTGCAAGGAATTGAGGCTCCTTTGGAGCACACTTTGCGCAACGTGGCCAATGTCTTGAACAGAGCAGCAGCTTTCCCGATGAGACGAGAAAGTCCGCACAACGAGCGCACATTCCCGCCACAAAGGCGTAAGTTCCAGCCACACGAGCGCACATCAAAAGGTGCTAGCTTTGTCACGCTTGGCGCCCGCTGCAAATCGTGTGGAAGACTGAGCCCACACGATGGACAGTTCCTTCTGTTTCGATATCCGCATCCGAGTGTTTTTCTTGAGCCGAGCGAGCGCTTTCAGATAAACGCGCGGCAAGCTGCACGAGCGGAGAGTAACGCTCATCGAAAGATTCTGGAATGGGGGAAAAAACAACAAAACGCGGTTGTTCCGACATTCAAGAGCTCGACTCGAGGACCTTTCGGTGTGCCCAATGCCCGCCGGGCCATTACCAATCCAAGAATTACTCCACCAGCTGCGAGCGATGCCCCCAGGCGCTTGCCGCTTTTCGCTCTCGGTTTCGCCGAGTGTTTTGTTTGCTTCGCAAGCGGCCAGCCGCGGACACCAAAGGTGGACTGTGACAAAGGTTGAGGGGAGATCGCAGGCTAGGCGAAGCTTTCCTTTTACTGCTTTGCCAGGTTTTTGGTAGACCATTTGAACAACATGTTTTTTGGATTCAAATTCTGTGTGGTAGACAGACAGCCCTTTGCAAGGGCAGCTTGAGCAACTCTTACGGCAACGTGGAATGCCAGTGCGAAGAGCAGCCCGGCCCAATTGGTTGCGCCGTTTTTGGTTTGCGAGCTTCCCTTCAAACCCAGACTATTTAGTGACTATTTTTGAACTGCCCAGTGCGGCGTGGATAGCGAAACCTCTCGCAAGTAAGGCCAACAACAACGTCAACAACGTCAACAACGGCCTCATGCCCGATCTGTCCAGCGTGTCCATCCAGCCTCAGCAGGACAACACGGCTGTTAGGGGCCATAGGCCTGGTCAATTTAATTTGCTTACTCCACTCTTTGGCGCCGCCAGCCTGAAACACGCTGTGAAGGACAGCATGGAACTAGCACGTGAGAGTGGCTCCCAAAACAGGGATCATCCTTTTTGGCTGGATTGAAACGTAAGCAAAGATGAAACCAAGCAGTTGTGGTGCTCATCTTTAGAAACTCATCCGAACTGAAAGAAAACAAGGTCCCGAGATGCCCATGGCACATGTGGGAGCTGCACACTGGTCGTTCACACTCTGGAGAAGCGATAGGGTTCTGCCCAAATGGGCAAGAAAGCCCATCGCCGCAAAAGGTGCTAACGCCTCGGATGTTTCCGCCAAAGGCTGAATGCCCGATTCCCTTTCTCCGTTGTCGCTTCGCACAACCTCCCGGTTGGTCAATTCAGAGTTGGCAGAGGATCTGGAAAAGGCGAGGCGCCGCCGTCGTCAATGTGGCTTTCCGTACAAACGCAGGATGTGGATCACTTTTGGATGTGAGGGGCGTGTTTCATGAGATGATTCTTGCCACAACACGAAGTTCCGCACCAACCCAAGTGGCATAACCAACCTGCTGCTTCGAATCAGCAGGGTCAAATGCAGGGATTGCATTCAAAGTTCGATGTCAGTGCCACTGCTTGGCAGGCAGGCATGGCTGGCAACAGCGAGAAGCCGCTGAGCTACATGTTTAGCCCGCATTCATTCAACACCGGGCCCGGAATTGCTAAGAGTGTGTGTGTGTGTGTGGCCCCCCTGTTTCTAAGGGGTTCCGTGTTTCGTTGTTTTTGGAGTCCCGTGTTTCGTTGGTTTTGGGGTCGGACGCCACCTTCTTGCATGATCAGACATGAAGTACCTGGACTGGTTGATGGCGTTCCGGATGAGGATGATCAGTCCAGCGAAAGATGATCTGACTTGCCTGAAGCCGAAACTCCGTTGCCCTGGCGGACACCCTGAAACTCGTGTGCTGGATGCCACTCACGACTTTCGCCGTCTCATATCAAGTGTGTTTAGGCAATGCGTCCGGGCTTCGGTCAGTGTCTTGATCCCCTTTGCGGGCATCTGTTCTGACTCATGTAGTGACATTTTCTTCAGACAGTTACCGGACCTTGTCGCTCGTGACTCTTGACTGTTTCCACTGACCCTTCGCTACAGGCTTGGACATGTCCCGGACATTCAGGCATCCCAGACCCATTCATCAGACCATTTACCAGACCAAGTTTCACTCCAGACCGCGACATTGGCAATTTTTCCTGCTTTTTGCTTTTCGGGCCCCCGTTTTCCTTTTTCCTTTTGTGGGCGTCGGGTCCCTTTTTGTTTTGGTTTGTCTTTGTGTGTGTTTTCCTGGGTTCCTTTTCTTTTGTCCCCTTTTTTTAAAAAACAATCAACACTCAGCGCCATCATCGGCATCTTTGGCAGCGGCATACTGGCGGTGACAGCAGCCAGGTGCAAGAGCAGTTGGTGCAGGTCCAGGTTCCAGGCCCTGCAGTATGTGCATCAAGTGAGTCTAATTGATCAAGGCCTGGACGCGTTTTCCCAACTCCGAGGCAGGTGGGACAAAACTGACCAAATCTCCCATCGAGTATCATGATGGAGGCGGCTTCCGGGGGTTTTTGAAAGGTGGGTCTTCTTGCTTGGTTTTTTTCCCCCTTCGGGGTGTGTGTGTGTGGCCCCCCTGTTTCTAAGGGGTTCCGTGTTTCGTTGTTTTTGGAGTCCCGTGTTTCGTTGGTTTTGGAGTCGGACGCCACCTTCTTGCATGATCAGACATGAAGTACCTGGACTGGTTGATGGCGTTCCGGATGAGGATGATCAGTCCAGCGAAAGATGATCTGACTTGCCTGAAGCCGAAACTCCGTTGCCCTGGCGGACACCCTGAAACTCGTGTGCTGGATGCCACTCACCACTTTCGCCGTCTCATATCAAGTGTGTTTAGGCACTGCGTCCGGGCTTCGGTCAGTGTCTTGATCCCCTTTGCGGGCATCTGTTCTGACTCATGTAATGACATTTTCTTCAGACAGTTACCGGACCTTGTCGCTCGTGACTCTTGACTGTTTCCACTGACCCTTCGCTACAGGCTTGGACATGTCCCGGACATTCAGGCATCCCAGACCCATTCATCAGACCATTTACCAGACCAAGTTTCACTCCAGACCGCGACATTGGCAATTTTTCCTGCTTTTTGCTTTTCGGGCCCCCGTTTTCCTTTTTCCTTTTGTGGGTGTCGGGTCCCTTTTTGTTTTGGTTTGTCTTTGTGTGTGTTTTCCTGGGTTCCTTTTCTTTTGTCCCCTTTTTTTTAAAAACAATCAACACTCAGCGCCATCATCGGCATCTTTGGCAGCGGCATACTGGCGGTGACAGCAGCCAGGTGCAAGAGCAGTTGGTGCAGGTCCAGGTTCCAGGCCCTGCAGTATGTGCATCAAGTGAGTCTAATTGATCAAGGCCTGGACGCGTTTTCCCAACTCCGAGGCAGGTGGGACAAAACTGACCAAATCTCCCATCGAGTATCATGATGGAGGCGGCTTCCGGGGGTTTTTGAAAGGTGGGTCTTCTTGCTTGGTTTTTTTCCCCGTCGGGGTGTGTGTGTGTGTGGCCCCCCTGTTTCTAAGGGGTTCCGTGTTTCGTTGTTTTTGGAGTCCCGTGTTTCGTTGGTTTTGGAGTCGGACGCCACCTTCTTGCATGATCAGACATGAAGTACCTGGACTGGTTGATGGCGTTCCGGATGAGGATGATCAGTCCAGCGAAAGATGATCTGACTTGCCTGAAGCCGAAACTCCGTTGCCCTGGCGGACACCCTGAAACTCGTGTGCTGGATGCCACTCACCACTTTCGCCGTCTCATATCAAGTGTGTTTAGGCACTGCGTCCGGGCTTCGGTCAGTGTCTTGATCCCCTTTGCGGGCATCTGTTCTGACTCATGTAATGACATTTTCTTCAGACAGTTACCGGACCTTGTTGCTCGTGACTCTTGACTGTTTCCACTGACCCTTCGCCACAGGCTTGGACATGTCCCGGACATTCAGGCATCCCAGACCCATTCATCAGACCATTTACCAGACCAAGTTTCACTCCAGACCGCGACATTGGCAATTTTTCCTGCTTTTTGCTTTTCGGGCCCCCGTTTTCCTTTTTCCTTTTGTGGGTGTCGGGTCCCTTTTTGTTTTGGTTTGTCTTTGTGTGTTTTTCCTGGGTTCCTTTTCTTTTGTCCCCTTTTTTAAAAAAACAATCAACACTCAGCGCCATCATCGGCATCTTTGGCAGCGGCATACTGGCGGTGACAGCAGCCAGGTGCAAGAGCAGTTGGTGCAGGTCCAGGT